TTGAACTGGACTGATCTAAAACTGAACTAGAATTTTGATACACGTTCATCCCTTCAGATTTATTTTTTCTGCAAAATTTGTTAGAATTAAAAATATACAAAAAAAATATTTATAGATAGTTTTTGAACTTTTGTCAAATAGTTTCCACATTATACATATGTATGTTCTCTAAATCATTACAGTTCTTTTGTAACTAATCCCACAATATAATGTCCTGTCAATAATATCATTCTTTTTAATTTTTTTTTTACATTTGTCTGGCATTAAACCTACGAATACTTTGGAGAAAATAAGGCAGCTTAAGTAGAAGACAACAACTCGTATAATTTATTTATTATTTTTTTTGTTTATGTTAATTTTTTTGTGTTATTGTTTACAACGTCTAACAGTCATGTTTGATTATTTAAATCCATGTCATGTCTTGAGATTATTTTTTGCACACACTTGCAAAAGGAGTTTAAGCAGTGTTCACATTTAACAAATATTTGATATGAATGATGTAATTAATATTTTTCGAAAATCTTTCTTTGATGCTAGAAGACTTTTGTAAGAGTCATATTAGAACAAATGATTAGTCGAGGTAAAACCTAATGCCTCTGGTTTTAATGGTCCTGCATTTTCGTTCTTCGAAAAAGTTTAGATTCAAACATAAACTTATTGTTTGAAAATCTGTTCAAATTAGGACAGAATGATACTATTTGCGGACTTTAGAAAAATATAATTCTGGAAATAAATTTATACATTTTGTTGCAATCCAACAAAGTTACCTTAACTTTTGCTAAATCCATACAGTTTATTATCCTTGCTGCTCGCCTGGTTGGCTTCTATCCTGCTGTTTGAATGTATTGATGAGAGATGTATAATGTGTGTGTCGCCGTTAGTTGAAAAAATATATTTTTTCTTTTTTTAACTTGTTGTTTTTGGTTGTTACTTTTGTTGGCAATAACTGTATGTGAACGTTACAAATCTGCTTAATAAAATCATACCAAAAAATGCATCACATTTGTACATACACATAAGTATTCATATGTATATTTTTGTGTTTTGTAAATGAACCAAATACAAAAAAATAAAAGATGTGAAAAATTACAAAAAAAAATATCTATAGACGTCGTATAATGTGGGCTCCAACAGCGTCAGACTGTCTGGTATGTCTACAACGTTGGTCTGAATGTCTGTCCTTCCATCCATCTGTCCGTCTATCTGGCTGTTCTGGTTGTTTTCGTTTGTTTCGGTTTTAGTTTTATTTCGTCCGGTTTGTTAGTTTCACAACGTACAACGTTGCCGTGTGTGTTTACTTTTTTTTTTTTTTTTTTCAATATTTTGTATTTTTTCTCTCTGTTGTCTCGTTATTTTGTGCTTTTTTTTAAGTTTTTATACTTATTTTTGGTTGCAGTAAATATTTATTTTTGTTTATAGAAATTGTATTGCAAACGATTCGAGTGAGTGTATTAATTTTTGTGTGCATTTTGTTGTACCACTGATTCATGTCTGGACGGTTTGACTTACAGCAGGCGTCCACAGACAGAAATTGAAATCTTATGTGACTGTTTGTGCATATTGGTTAAACTGTGGTGTACGTGTCGGTTTGTCCATTTCTTGTGTGTGAAATAAGTGCACTATGGGACTAAAGGGATTTTGGCAAGCTTATTTGGTTGCGGTATGTTACGGAAGGACGGTTTCTAGAATGAATTGCATCGTTTGAGTTTCCATATGATTATAAAATTTTTGCATAATCTTAACGATGAAACCAATTTAAGTTCCTTATGATGCTTGTAGTGAACTCTAATCTAAAGTACGGACCTTTGATACCTTGATAAGTTTATCTTATATATTCTCCCACTTTAAGTTAACGAAATCTAAATAGTTCCCCGGACACGAACATATATCCGATTTTCAAATACAAAACCAACCTTTAAAGAAGTTACAACTACTGTTCGGTTATCCAAATTCTATCCTCACCAGTTCCCCTTAACCTCTCTTCCTTTATCGCATAAAATCATTTATTGAAAAGCGGAGCATTCTTTATAGGAAGTAGAATAAGATTTTAGAATCTTATGATTTTTGTGCATTATTTCCGGGATGATTTGGTTTATCATAGATACTAAATTTTTATTGTTCAGAATCGTAACAATTAATCATCTAATTCTGTTCGAATCACATCTTGGCAACCTGATCTTCGTCCGGTGACAGGTTTAGCATTTTATCTAGTTCTTCTGAGATTTCCGATTTCCAACAGTCCTCTCTTCTCTTAAAATTAAAGTAAAATCATTGTCATTATTAATTGTTCAACTAGTGAATTCGTTGGAATTTTCCACATACAAATCAAGCCAAAATTCCAGGAATTGCTTATTCGATTTTGATCAATCTTTGTTGGTAAAGACCACCGATTTGAAGAAAAAGAAAAGAAAAGAACAAATTGTATACGGATTAAATCGTCTAAACGTTGCGTTTATTCGCGAGCTCCCTTCCATGAGAACTCGCTCGTCGAACTTGTTCTTCAATAATTCGATTTGCACTTTGTGCTGTCCAGCTGGAACCACATATTGCCCCATTTTATAATGTCAAGCTTCTCCCAAAATTACTTAAACATCATGCCGCTATAGTGATTGCTGTCGTTCATTATCAGCAACCTGATCACACGTTAAAACCATCGATTTATAACGGCGAGACTCGATCTCAGCATACACTTCCAGGCGTCGATCATTGATCAGTTTAAAACCTTGTAGAATTGTTATGAGTTCCCAGTAATGAGGGTTTCAGGTCAAAGAAATTATACTGCCGATGAGTACGCATTCGACCAAATTGTAGCGCGGAATGATGTTAATATTTCTCGGGTCGTGGCTTCGATGTGACGACAAATAAAGACTCATTATGAGATCTTGAGAAAAATCCAAGAAAATTGGATTGTACACACTTATTGTCTCTAGTCTCCAGTCAGTTGAAAATTAAATTAACAGGTCATGCAAGGAGCAAACTGCAACGCGGAATAATATTAACATATCCCGGGTAGTAGCTTCATTGGATCCCAGTAATGAAGGTTCAATGAAATTAATGTAGGAGGCATTTAACAGGTGGACCAAAGCGCGGAAAATGTTAATGTTTCCCAGATCGTGGCTTCAATGTGACGACAAAAAAGGCTGATGGCTCATTATGAACTCTAGATAAAAACTAAAACATGAATAGTTAACGTATAGTGGTTGAGACATCGAACATGATTATGAAGTAAATCTCAAAAGTTGGTTAACCATTACCACTCGTTTTGTTCGATTAGAACCTTTTCAAATCGGTGGTCAATATAAAAAAGTAAAACCTTTTGATGGAAAAGAGTAATACCTTTTATGCGACTGTATATCTCCACAAGATTCTTAGAATAAGTATCTTTCATGATCTGAACTGTCCTAAATATATGTCATTAATAGATCTAATCAAACTTATTAGATGTAAGACCATTCTCAGGAGGCCTACGAAATTGTAAGGAAAACATTAAAGAGTATGAGCAAAAAATAAATGGAGTCTATAAACAAATTGCCGAGATATAGCCGGAACCAAATGTTTTACACAAAAAACCCCCGAATGTTGTCTTTCGTTCCATAGTGCATTGATTAACTTTAGAATAGAATGTACTGTTTTACAGTAAAAGTTCTCTTAAGTAATACATGCAATTTATGCATAAAATATTAGTCCAGTTATAACGAATCTAGTAGCAACTCAACTATTTGAAATAAAAAAAATCTTATAGTTTGAAAAGGACATTTTTTAAGGAAAATGTTCCCTACAACGTTTAAATATATCTGTTATAAATCTGATAAGTTTTTCTAAAATGCATACGGAAATTTTATTCAGAATTATGAAAATCTTATCAAACCCGATCTTTAACCAAATATACTTTCAAAACCTTGCTAGGGTATTAATACAAAGTTTTGTATTTCTTTTTTTTATAATGCAAGTCTAACCTACTATTGAACATACGTTCAGACTATACAATTCATCTAGCCACCAGCCATGGCAGCCAAACAGACTTCTAATCTACAAGTAGTCGTCGTCGTCGTCGTCGTCGTCGTCGTCGTCATGCTCTCAAATTCATATATGTAACGGATAATGTACAGTGTTTATGTCGGGGTACTCACGTATTTTAACCCTGATACACCACCACACATTGAGATTAAAAGCAGTAGTTGCAATCATTTGCATACATCCTACTTTTTTATTGTTGTTGTTGTTCATTTCGGTTTAGATTTGTTGAACCATGTAGTCTCTGCTATTGACTTTAAAAATAATAAAAGTTCGCGTGGCTTCTCTATATAGAATTTATTATTTATTTATATTTTTGTATTACTGTTTACACGCTTTTTATCCCCTACCATAGATTTCGGAAAAGAGTGATACTTTAGAGTTAAGGGTATGTTTGTCATCATTTTATGAAAGTTAATTTTAAAAAAAATTTAAAATTGTTGGTCATCAAAAATTCTACAATATTCCCTAGAGTTTGTTTGACAAAAGATTGGTGATACGTTCGCATCTATAATTTTTGTCTGATTTATAATAAAACTACTTATTTTATTGGCTATTGGTAATGTATAAAGTAAGCAATTGATTCCATATTTATAATTTGGGAGTAGGGAAGTATACATTAGAGTTTCAATTTGTATCAGTTCGTTTTTAAAAATGCAGACCTTGAATTTTCCTATCATCAACCTTTGTAGCACCCTTTCCATTTCGTCTACTACTATCCAATTTTTTCTATACAGTTCATAGTTAATAATTGTTGTATGCAAATTTTCGAAAAAAATTTACAATTTTATTTATGATTTTTAAAACAAGTGGGTTTTTGGACATGTTTTTATTTTTTGCGATATGTGTAGTATTTTTTCAATAATTCCAATCACGAGATAATGTCAAGAACTTTTTTGTTGTAGATAAAATTAAATATAAATCATAAATTTTTAAATAATTTTTGTCACATACAAATGCTTATTTTGAAAGTAAAACAAATCTAGGAAATATATTAGAACTTTTATTAATTCTTTATTTATTTCACCAAAGTAATATATATTTAGAATTCCAAAGTAAACGGCATTTTCCTGGTTCTATAATGATTGGTATTGATATGCAATCGAACAATTTCCCTAAAAATTGTTTTTTGTTCAAAGTCTTTAAGTTCTGAAAAGAAAGAAAAAGAGGGAATTAATGATTAAACATTTCATAAATTTTTATTAGAATTTTAATAATAAAATCTAAATATATGACATTATTATTAAGAAATTGAGACCTTAAGCAAAACATCGGAAAAAAGTTTATATTAATGGGGTTCAATTTCTCGTTATTTCGGCAAAAATATATATTAAGAAAGATTGCAGACTTCAGTTTGGTACTTTTTTATAACTCTTATTAAAGTAAGGACTCATAACACCTTGAAATTTAGAACGATTTAGTAAGGACTCTGGATCCCCTCAAAATAGTGATCTGCAAAATGTTGCATAAATACGACATGAAAAAGTTTTGAAAGAATCAAAATCTCTATCAAATTTTCATGATGATCGGTTCATAATTGAACCCAACTCCATAACCCCTCTAAGAATATAACTCTTAAAAGTTCCTCAGTTTTCAACTGATTATGGGGGAATATTTGTGTACCCTTCACGTTCGTGAAAAGGGTATGAATGTCGAAGTCCTTTACGTTAACACCTGCCTTGAAGGCTTTATTTCACGCTGGTCTTTTTCAACCACTGGGTAAGCTTTTACACGTTGGTGGCAATTTACATATATGGAATTTCCGGTCTAGTATACGTCCACTTTGCTCGAGCGTTCTAATTTTTCTGTTGGGGAAGGACAGGTGTCATGAGCAAGCTCAATCTAACCCACACAAGGAAAAGGCAATCACTGGTTTAGAGTCAATAGACAACACAACATCAAACGCTTTTTGATGTTGTGACGCATCAACTAATACTCATACCCCTAGAGATTCGTCATCATCTAAGACTCACCTCAGTGCATTCCTAGACCTTATATGTCGCCCAACCACACTATTGAGATGGCTCTGTTGATTCTAGGGGACGTAATTGGTAGTCCGTAACACGGATTATTTTAATTAACAAGACTTATTTCAGTGGCCACAAAGAACCACTGTAATAAGTTGAGCATGTTTTAGAGTAAACTCCAACACACTCAACCATGAATGAAAATCTCTGATAAATTAATGATTATTGTATTAACGACCATGCACCATCTCACTCCGTTTTGCCAAACCTTAGTTCAGCACATCTTTTCCGTCACTCCAACCATCACTCCATCCGACTAACCTCGGATACAACTCAGAATACCTCTAATCCATCAGATACAAGTATCTGAATGGTGGTACATCGAACACCGACGTATACCCAATCTTTGCATTATCAGTTCAAATCCAACATTTTATTAATCCACAGTCATGCTCTGTGGTTTGTAACAGAAACTTATCCAGAGAATTATACTTTAAGGTGTATCCCGAAGGAATCTCAGCCAAGTGACCAGCCAGGACACTGTCCTGCGGGTCTAGCCGGACTGTGAAGTGACATCACCAGTTTATAGTTCCGGCAGACTAGAAGTATTGGTAGCACTTCATTACCCCGAGATTGCAAAACACCAAGATGAGGGTCTTCTATCAAGGAAACATGCCCCGTGGGGGTGTGAAAAGGGTATATATAAGTTTGTCATTCCGTTTGTAATTTCTACAATATAATTTTCCGACCCTATAAAGTATATATATATATATATATATTAGGATCCTTATAGCCATGTCCGTCTGTATGTTTCTTGAAATCAGTTTTCTGAAGACGCTAGATATCTTTGGGATCTAAATCTTCAATGTTCTATCTAACATGCTTTCGAAAAATTTCCTTATTAAAATCAGCAAAATCGGATCATAAATAACGGAGATATGAGCAAAAATCCCAGACAACCTTTGAAAATTTCGTCAAAAAATTTGTATTTTTTGCATGCAGATGCATGAAAACAACAACAACTTTCAGATTGTGTTTGTTTGTGAGTAAATTGTGGTTCGGTTATATGGGGGCTAGGTGAAAAAGTGGACTGATTGGGTCAAAAGAGTAAGTAATTTTTGACTCTTTTTAATTTCTGAATAATTCGGTACATAGCACCAATAAGAAGACCTTTTCATAGTATTATATGATAATAGATTTTTATCGGTGAAAGACAGGGTCAGACCTGAGTTTCCTGGAAACCATATCAATTCGACTAAGTGTTTTCTAAACTGAGACATGAGAAAATATTTCGTGTTAGCTTACGAATGTAAATATGAAAGCAATAGAGGACATTAGCGATATATTAGTTAATAATCATAACACGCCAACAAATTTTTAACTCAGAAAATAGCTTTATGCTTTAGGATTATCTCAATCCATGGCCCAAATTACGGCATACTATATCGATCGAAATCTCAATAGAATCTAAATGGAGATTTCGATCGATATCGTATGCCATAATTTGGGCCCAGATCTGATTGTAACCTAACTAAAATAAACATTTTTGAAATAAACAATCTTTGATTTCTTACCCATTTTAAAACCGCAAATTTTTATACGATTTGACCGGTTACGCAAACAATCCGCTGACAGCAATATACATAGTAGTCTAAAATTTAATATATCTCCAGCGGTGCCATAAACAAGAAAACCCAATTGCTCATTAACATCTAATACATCTAACCAATGTGTTAAACCCATTACAAATATTCCAAAGGGCAACTTTATAAACTCCAAAGTCGTCGCAACTCTAAAACATTTTTGGGAAATTCTATTATTATCGATCAATACATCATTAACAGCAATATTTAAACGTTTCAAAGACATATCACGAATAAGCATTTTCAAAAGAGTCCAGTTCAGACCATGACCAGTAGTAAATGTTAATTCTTTTAGGTTAGCCATAGATAAGACAATACGTGGTAAAATATAGGGATTTGTTAGTTGTAACTGTTTTAATTGAGGACATTTATCACGTATCCAATTATGAGTTATATCACCATTAAGCCAGTTCAGGGTGTGTAGTGCGTTAAAGTGGTTTAGAGAATTTTGAAATATTTCAGATATTGCTGTAAACTGTGGGGTATCTATGGTTATCGATTCCAAAGAGGGTGCTATATAAATATAATTGTAAGTTTTGTTGACAGGCGAATTGATCAATTTAAACTTTTTTAGCTTGAGGCCACCCAAAAATTGTTGTAAATTTTCAAAGGTCAAGCCACTACAAGAAATCAGCGATATTTCTTGTAAACCCTGTAAAGGCAAGAAATCCTTGATATCTAGTTGACAACCTTCCAAACATAAAGTTTCTAAATATCTACAACATCTGCTCAAAATATCGATTAGTTTGACATTTAACAACAAATTACTATCATTGACGTGTATGATGAGTTTGCGCAATTGCGGGCAGCATTTCAGATAACCGGTAAAAGTGCACCAAAAATCATAGTTTAAAATGCCAATATTTAAAACCTGTAACTGCCAAACAATATCGGGTATATAGGTCCTGGTGGTTTTATCCTCCTCCTCACAAACTATGGTGAAATTTTTAAAACTTAAACTGGTCAAATTCACAACATTATTTAAAAGATATTTCACATGTTGCACTTTCAGTGGCTTTATGGTACCCGGCTTTGTCTCGGGCTCAAATTTTAATTCCTGCAATTGTTTTATTTTACAAATACTGTCGATATTTATATTAATACCCGGCGCCAGAGTTTCAAAATGTTCACAGAAACATTTCAACAAATGTAAACTGTTCAATTGCAAACAATTTTTGCTTAACACCAGCAGATTTTCATTTGTCACCACCATTTGATAGAAGATTAATTTACTTAAATTTCTAAAAGGTTTCACTTTAAACTTAAAATACTCCGCCTGCAAGTTGTCATCTTTCATATCACCCTGCACCTTTAGCACTTCTATATCGTGAGATTTCTTCTTTAAAAATATTTGACAATCTGTGTGATTTAATGCAAATTTTGTTTCATTAACTTCGTACAATTCGCTTAAATTCTCGGTGGTATTACGTGTTAAGATATTTACATAACGACTTCTATAAATACACAGTTCGTTTAAATTATTTAACCACATATTTATTTTGGACTTTCTTTCTTAAATACATTTCTTTTAATTTTAAAATAATTCTTAAAAACTGTAAACGTTTACTTCGAAAATTCTTAAAAGTGACTGAGATCTTTGTTTATCTTTTGAGTAAAATACTGCTCGGGGTTTAATTTATTAAAATAAATATATAGTCGAGAAGATTGATTCATGTTTGTCTTAAAAATACATCATTAAGATACTAAAGTGTGTACACGAAGAAAAGATTACTTAATGATAAAACCTTTAATATTAGTTAGATGAAATTAGACCTGAAACTAATTTTAGGACCGATTTATCGAGGTTCCGATTGGTTTTAAATCTCTCGGTACGAGTTAAATTCGGACATAGATTGTCAATTCAGTCTGTTTCAAATGATCATATAAAATTTATGAAAAAGATCTTCAGGAGTAAAGGGTTAAACTTATCTTTCTTTAGCTTTCTGTGTGACCAGTCGAAAATAGGTTTTTTTTTTGGAATCCCAGTTCCATTATTGCAGATATTCAACTAACATTTCCGAGTGCTTAAATTTTTAAGTATAAAAAGGTCTTTTTTATTAGTATTTGTCTTACAACAATTTCGTGTACATACTTTTCATATTTATCTCATTAGAATATTTTTTTAGATTACGATAAATATTTGCTGAGATTTCTTTAATCTTTAGAGAATATTTATATCTTGTTGTAAGGAAGGGCTCGTATATATTTTTTAAATTATTTATAAAGTAAGAAACATCAGATTATGCTGTACATCCAAATGATAAAACTTTACAATCTTTACATGAACATTTTTTGTGAGTGAATCATCTTTAAAGTCATCTTTAGTCAGATCTAGAGGGGAAACTTTCAGAATTTGGCGTAATAACAAAAGCGTCCAAACTTAAAAAGCGTGGTCTTTAGGTGTCGAGAAAGGTCTATGTGAGCAGTGTCTTTGCACTAAGGTTCTAGCTCTTCCTAGGGGCTAGGTTTTAACTGAGTTATTTTGAAGGTAATTTTCAACCACTGTCCAATATTGAAAGGATATTAGTTTGACAAATATATTCTTTCGAGTCTCCTGGACGAAATAGTATACCTGCAGCGGTCTCTCCGACATTAGTCCGGCAAATTACCTGTATACTCGAAGATTGCTAATGTTACGAAAATTCCTAAAAAGGGAGGTACTAATAAGCTGGAAATTATCGCCTAGTAGCAATTTGTTCAGCACTTTCTTGTCAAGTATTCAAAGACCAACGACCGTCAGTATGGCTTTCGTAGAGGTCACTCTATGAAAGACCTACTAGCTTTCATTTCGGATAAATAATGTTTTTCCATTCACCATTTCTGCGAATGTAAAGTGTTGGCTCCAGATATTTTCAAGGTATTTGATAAAGTAACATTGTGACATTGTGCACTTGTATCAAAACTGATTGCATTTGAGGTAATGAGGCGTAGCTCAATTTCGACTTGATAACATCTCTGAATGGGGTCGCGTAAATGGAGTCGTTTTTAACGCCTGCAAGACTCACATAAACGCACATAACACATAAACGCATGGCAGATAATGTTGTTTCATCTAAATTCATGTCTGATTAAATATTAAGGAATCAGAAACTCTTGATGTTCTGAGAGGGTAAAAATTTTTCAAGTATCGGAAGAAGCATTCAAGTGTCTCAGCTTTTTCAGACGATGCACGACTTCACTCCATCGGACCTCCTTACAATTTACCTCGTATATATCCGAACGAAAATGGAATACAACCCTTATCTATAAGCCGGAGCTTCGAAGTATCCCTACGGAAGTATTCCCTGCTTCGCATAAGTAGTTGTGAACCCTAGACTGCTGGTCGAAGAAAAATATTTAATTTTTCCAATCAATACTTTCAAGGAATATTACATCCGGTACAACATCGTTCCCAATGTGTTTGAATCTAATTGCGACAAAAGCTTGGTCATGGTAGAGTTAGTGTTAGTTTCCGCTCGCTCAAATATGCCCGCAGTTCTGTGTTTCAAAACTGATTGCATTTGAGGCAATGAAGCGTAGCTCAATTTCGTCTTGACAACAAGTGTCGAAAGAAGCAATTAAGTCTCTCGGCTTTTTCAGACGATGTACGACTTCACTCCATCTGAGCTCCTTACTATTTACATAACGTATATCCGACCGGAAATGGAATACAACCCTTATCTATAAGCCGGAGCTTCGAAGTATCCCTACGGAAGTATTCCCTGCTTCGCATAAGTAGTTGTGAACCCTAGACTGCTGGTCGAAGAAAAATATTTAATTTTTCCAATCAATACTTTCAAGGAATATTACATCCGGTACAACATCGTTCCCAATGTGTTTGAATCTAATTGCGACAAAAGCTTGGTCATGGTAGTGTTAGTGTTAGTTTCCGCTCGCTCAAATATGCCCGCAGTTCTGTGTTTCAAAACTGATTGCATTTGAGGCAATGAGGCGTAGCTCAATTTCGTCTTGACAACAAGTGTCGAAAGAAGCAATTAAGTCTCTCGGCTTTTTCAGACGATGTACGACTTCACTCCATCTGAGCTCCTTACTATTTACATAATGTATATCCGACCGGAAATGGAATACAACCCTTATCTATAAGCCGGAGCTTCGAAGTATCCCTGCAGAAGTATTCCCTGCTTCGCATAAGTAGTTGTGATCCCCAGACTGCTGGTCGAAGAAAAATATTTAATTTTTCCAATCAATACTTCCAAGGAATATTACATCCGGTACAACACCGTTCCCAATGTGTTTAAATCTAATTTCGACAAAAGCTTGGTAATGGTAGCGAAAGTATTAGTTTCTGCTCGCTCAAATGTGCCCGCAGTTCTGTGTTTCCAGTATGGATATAAAAAATTAATAAAATTAATCTCGGACTTGTTTCCACTAAGGGAACTTCTTGTTTTCCTTTCGTTCCACTATTCATGAGGTCAAGTGTGACTTTTTCAGGTTAACTTCCTCAACTTTCTTTGGAAATCAGATCTCTCGAATTCATGCTGAGATTTGTAAATATCCTTCTTGTTAGTTTCAATGGAATACATTGTGAATCTATTACCACTATGATTCTCAAGGGCTTTAAGGAATATAAACTTAAAGCGAAAAGATTCATTGAGAAAATTCTCAATATTTTTAAGAATTATCCCAAGATCATCATCAAGAGTTATCTTGATGAATCTTTCCCCATCTTGGTGTTATTGCAATCTGTGGGTAAAAGAGGTACTACCAGTAGTTCTAGTCTGTCCTAGGCCATTGCTTAGAATCTTTTGATGGCCTGCTGCTACCTCAGTAGACCGCAGTGTTTCGGACTTTGTCTTATGCCGGTTATTGGATAGGTCACTTCAGGGTGAACGTGACGATGGTGGTTGTACCCAAATTGCGGAAAGATAATTTTTTGTTAAAAGACTGATGCATCTTAAAGTCAATAATTCGGGATAGGTTCGGTACTGTTGCCGTTACGTGAATCCGACCTCTCCAATAACTGACACAAACCAAATTCCCAAACACTGCTCTGCAGTTCACTGTGGTACCAATTACGACAGTTTTGCCGTTCAGCCGCGCCTCTAATGATTCCAAGGAATGGTCAAGGAATTAAATATTCCCTGTAGACTGGAGCTACTGGTAGATTATGGTATGTCGAGGATTAGAAAGATCAGATGGAGAAAATGATTTCCTACACGTGTTAAACACATCAGTTTGATTGTCAAAGATCGATAACTCGTATTGCAACATCGCTGAAAATAGACCCCATTCAGAAATCGTTCACGTTTTGTCTCATTGCGCTGGCAGTCTTGAACTATAACTGAGCGATTTACAATGGGTCATTTTGCTACTATTTCCAAAAGAACATATTGATCTGGGTGTTTGATATGGAAGATAAGTTGGAAAATCGCAACATATAGTTGATGAAGGAGATTTCATCGATCTTCAACAATTCGTACAAACCTATTTGTAAGACAACTTCCAATTTAGATTGATTTTGATTGACATTTTTTGATGAGGTTGAGTATAAAAGAATTTATTTCCAACACCAGAAGCAGTTTTTTAGTTTTCTCAGCTAAATATCCTTTAAAGTTAAAATTTGTAGTATCTAGCTTATTTTAAAATCTTCTAGTTAAAAAGTTGTAAATAAAATAAGCATTCCTCTACAATGTGCTACATAAATCCCTTTATAATCCACTAAGCTTTGTCTTTATTTCCACACTGTTCCATCATTTAACATTACATTTATATACATATCTTTCAAGTAATGGTCATTGAATTTTAAGCCACGCAACGTAAGCATTTGGTTATATTTGTCCAAGTGAAATTGTGAATACAAAGAAGACCAAAAAGGAAAAATAGACTATGGTGTGCCGAGCAGTAATGGTGAAGGTAGTGTACGACGACACGTTTTTCTCTTTTGGGGGAGAGTGTTTAAAAAATTGACTTTTAAGTGTGCAATTGTTGACATGCAATGTTGAACATGTTGCAAAAAAGTGTCCAGTTTGACAGTGACATGTAGATGTAGACTGACTGAATGACTGACATCATAAGAAAAAACTCTTTATGGCTAAAATATGTGTGTATGTGTGTGTGTGTCGCAGACGTAAAGGATACAAATATTATATATTACATTTACTGCTGCTCTTCGCAGCTGTTGTTCGTCAATGACCACTAGGTGCTGGTAGAATACAAAGAATACTGTCATTTACACTTGCACTTCAGCTCAAAAGTATTTGTATTGCAAGTGTGTGTGTGTTTGCAATTGCATGTTTTTATTAAGAGTGTATGGTGTAGTTTAGTATGTCCGGTTTTGTAATAACCAATTGAGTGACTACTATTATGGAATTGAACTTTTGTGAAAACACACCAGTAAAAAAAAATTGTCTGGAGAGAAAAAGTCCACACTAGTTTAAACATTGCACACGATGACTACCAGCATTTTCACACGCTTTAATAATAAACACTATAAATAAGATGGTAACAGGTGGTGGTCAAATTTGGGAGGTTGATAGAATGTTAAATGTTTATCTTTACATTTACTTATAACGTAATTGTAACCTATATGGGATTTCCTTCCTAGAAGGTATAATGGTTCAAAATTCATTACGATTTAGTCCTGTTTATAT